TTTGGTATATCGTTGCTTGGCATCTTGATCAATATACTTCCTAACCTTGGTAGACTTTCAAATGAACGCTTGTGCCACGCTTAAGTCAGAGATTCTGCGTAAAGTTCGCCTCATTAAGTCTACCCTTCAGATATAAGCTATTCAATAATACTTCGAGGTTGAATACGAACGAGTTGAGTTACTTTTCTAAGCTTTAAATTTTTAATAAAAGGAAACTTTCGTTCATCTTCCTTTCTACGTTTTCTCTTTTAATTAAACTGAGGAAACTAAATGTTATCCCTGCAGCCTTTCACCAGCATCTATAAAGATGTTGACGTTTTTTTCAAAAATGTAGCGAAGTTTTTGTCTTCTTAGGTGAAAAATGTTTCATGAAATTTATAAACAAAATCATCGTGGTTAGTTTTTACCTGCTTACTAAAACTTAATATTGCGGCCCGTAAATACATTTCTTTTAAGAGTTGTTATATTGAAATTATTTTATATATATTATTTAATAAATTTTTTGTCTAACAGGAATATTTTGATTTCGTTTACCTTAGGTCCTCTTATTTATTCATATTTCAAATCAATTACTGGCTTCTCTTTTTCTCAATCTTTCTCTCTCTATCTCTCTCTCTCTCTCTCTCTCTCTCTCTCTCTCTCTTTCTCTACCTTTTTCCTGTTTTTTATATTCTCTTTTGTTGGTGTTATCATAACTACCCACTATAATTGTAAATAGCCATTAATTATAAGCAAAAAGTTTTTCAATTATTTTTCCACTGGAAGCAACAGAAACTCAACTTGGTCCAGCTGCAACATGATTATTGTGGAATTTCGAGTGAAATAATTGAAAAGTTGACGTTAAAATAAGCATAAATGTGTGCTTGTAACAAAAAACTAAATAAATAACATGTCCTCGAACAGACTACAAATATTTTTATGGTATTTAACGCTGTAACGTTAAAAATATAAAAAGTATGTTTTTCACCGATAATTTGTCCATTTTTTAGTATGCATTAAAAAACAGGCTAAGGTAATTATTAACAAAACTTTACACCGAAAATAATTGAACTCAATACAAGAGAAGACGCTAAATACGTTAAATGTCTCAACATATATTTTATATCAAGCGGAACAAGTTTGCCTTTATGTCAGCAAGTTTCTGCAAAGGCTTACTGGAAACTTATCGCAGAGTAAAGAAACCGTTATGTTTTTTAAAACAAGACATTTGATGCAAATCAAAAGATTTATGGATTTTCAGAGAGGCATTAAAGCGTTAGGCTTAAATTTAACACATTTAGTCGTGTTATGCTTATGCCGTACGGCTTAATTTACTTTCTTCAGACTCAAAACTAATTTAAGACCAATTAGGTAAGTTATGTTTAGCTGTAGTTTAAAAAAAAGAAAACGAGACTGAATGTTGATCAAACAATTATTCGAGTGTAATCTTGTAAATGTTAGAGCAGTTTCACGTATAATATGGTTAACTTGGACTTGCCCTGTGGTATCTGCTCCTGTGTAAGCAGCGGAAAAGCCAAAGAAAGTTAACTACTATTCCCAAATATGGGTTTCCTCTGCGGCTATTTCGCTGAAGACATGTTTCTTCTTCATATGCTGCGAGCGAAATATCGCAAACATTTGCAAGCCCACATTGGTATAAACCCAAATTTTCGAAAGACACTTAAGGGAATGGTTATTTGTTATGCACCATATACCCAAAAGTCTGTTGTGGGCAGAAACCTTTGCGCCTTCTTTACTTTTTTAACAAAATTAGCTTGTTTAAAACCTTTCCTGGGTATTGAGTTGCTTCAGTTAAGAAGTTTAGTGATGAATTTCGCTTTTAATTCATAGACTCCTTTTTCTAAGGCTGGAAAACAGGCTTCGGCAACGATGTTCTTGAAGAGGGTCGCTCGCAATACGTACTTGCACGCTCCCCTTGGCGGTAAACCAATTTCAAGTTATGTATGATGGATATGCCGTTGTTGCTGTATATGATCACACAGTACTTTAATTTGCTCAAAACTAGAATCTTGTCAAGACAAGCAATGCTGTTCGTATGTACGGAAGGTTTCCAAGCAAGTTAGCTTACAAAGTTAAAGTGGAATTTTTTAATTGAAACAAGTACAGTACTTCTTAGGAAACTTGAGCTCTAAAATGTTGAGTTAGCCGAATTTCACTAAACGTATACAGCACGATATGTCTTGTTTGTCTATGCAAATTAGGAATTTTAGCCAATGACAATGACTCCTTGCAAAGTTCTTAGATAACAAGAAATCCAAAATACCTATGCGATTCACAATCTATCGCAGCAAATTTAAAAATAAAATCACCGTTTTGAACCAACTTTCGTCCTAACATACCAATAATTCAAATTTGTGCCACATAAAGGCGCGTGTATTCTAAACTCTTTTATCAGGAAGAGAGTTTGAAATATGCTGACTACCTATCCAGACTTTTCTTAGTAACACGTTTAATTTCGATTTTTGTGTTATATTTGTTGCAAGTGTCGTTGGTTGGGTCCATGTGTCCGTCTCCGCAAGAATGAGTCAATTTGGCCTACAATTTTTGTAGAATCGACGCCGTCGTAGAAATGACGACTCCCTCCTAAAAATACCGACAACTTCTTTATATTTTCATTTGTAATTTTTGTGAATATATTTTCGAAAAACTGCTATCGAGACATTCACCAGGACCTGCATATTCGATCCAAAATTAATCTGAATCGTCTTATTATTAACTCCCAATTTTTTTCCCGATTTATTCGTAATTGGACGAAGACCGCTTTTGTGCATGCATCATAGGCATCTCAAAAGTAAAACAAAAAGTTCGACAAAATTGATTCTAGGTATTTAAAGGTCTCTTCAGACAAATAAAAGTAACCAAAGAATTTTAGAACTTAAAGTGCAAACGGTGAAAAACGACCAAATGACCGGCGCTTTTGTTTTAATTTTACACATCTTTTGGGGGAGCTAGAAACTTGAGGCATTTAGTTTTAATAAATTTCGATCAAGTGGCAAAAATTTTAATTACTGAAAAAAGAAATTTTGCAAGGTGCGACTTTACGATTTTTAGCAATGTCTACCGTCTACTATAATCGCTTTATTATTAATTCATTGTAATTCAAATTCTTTTATCGACCTTTCGAAAATCAGTTTTTAAATTGACATCAATCAGTCAGTCATTGTTCAATTAAATAAAAAATAAAGGAATTAATTTCGTTCGTGTAACATTTGGTTGCACTATTTTTTATAAACAATTCGTAAAAGCTCTTGATATCAATTATTGAATATTTCATAATTTATGGAAATGTCAGCGAAATATTTTTGAGAATTTCTGATTATACACTTATTATTTCTTTATTTTTGATAATGTGCAACAATAACAAATGACGAATAATTCAGAAATAACAAAAAAGACGAATTGATGAAGGGCATTTAATGGCGAGCCATTGCTACCTCTTTGTACATATTTTTATACTAATCTTAAGAGTTTCTTAAATTAAATTGCAAATACTTTAAATAGACACTTCTGCATCCCTTAGTTTTATCAGCCATAATTTAATGACTTGCCGTTGACATCACGCCAGAATAAAAAAATTTTTTAAAAATTTTGACTTTTGCAAGGTGTCGTTACCTGTCAATTAATTGCGAGATGCGTTTATTGGATTCAGTTAACGTCAAAATATCTATTAACCACTTGCAAAGAAAAATTATTATCTCCTTTATCGCGACTTTTAAGTAATAAAACAACAAAAAATTATTTTCTTTCCTTTTAAGTCTACAAACTTCTATTTATTTGTTAGAAAAAATCAAAAGTTCTCTCCAAAAAAGTAGAAAAGTTGTTTCAGTTAAATGAATGACACATAAAGTAAAGAAAACGTTGAACCAGAAAAAATAAAAGTTCATATGTTTGTTGGTGTATGTTTACGTGTGTGTTTGTGTGTCTTTTAGCTACACACAGGTCAAATAAACAATTAAATTGAACGGCTGGCTGGTTGTTTGGCTGGTTGACTGGTTGGCTGAATGCAACCACATGCACACACGGCAAAGTAACAGAGTAACCAGAAAGAGTATTTACGAAAGTTTTTAACAAAAAGCATTCAACCATTAAATTCGTTGTCACACTTGTCGTATGACAAGAAAATAAAAGCAGAAAGAAGAGCAACAAGGAAAACATTTACCCGTTCTACTAAGTCCTATAGAAATAATCCTTGAACTCTGTATAATACTTTCGTATTGTGCTGTATTGTTTTTGTTGTTTATAAGTAGAGAAGGTGCATCAAATTCCTTGCATTGATAGACGAAAAGATACACTCGTATCCCTTACATAAGTAACAAAAGGTAATAGAAGGATAAAAAGGCAATAGAAGAGAAACTATGAGCAAGATAAAAAGGGAATAAATAAACCGTTTTCACGGGACGTAGGAAACCTATGTTAAAGTATTTACACACTTGTAAGCGCAAGGAAACAGGCACATAAGCATAATATATATATGCTTAGCGAACATACGAAACCAACACAATATGTTTTGAACACAAATAAATAGAGTTTTTTAGACTCACATAGATAAATACACACTTAAAGATGTACGTATTGGCTTATAAAGTGATAAATTGCAATTTAATAACACACTGATGTTTATACTCAAACACATGCACCTAGTAATCCACTAGAATCGCGACGATCTATAGTTAGTCAGTTATTGGTCGTTCCTGTTGTTGTTACTGTTGTCGATTTCTGATTTTATTTTACTTGCGTTATAATAGGATGTATACACTTAAAGTTTAAGTAGCACTATTTATCCGCTTGACAACATTCATTTTGCTTACATGCTCACATAAGCCCACACATGCACAAACGCACGCATACAAACATTGGACAACAAATTTTCAGAAGTTTATTTCCTTTAAAATTTACCCTGCACGCTTTCGTATTACAAAAAAAAAAAAAAAAAAATTAAAGCATGTTTGAAGGCATTGCTAAAAATAATAATTTAAAACATTCTTCTCCATTGCTATTACCTTTCGTAATCCTTTTTCTTTAACAAATTACTGCACTGCGTTTAAACATATTTCGCTTATCAAATCATTTTTAAACACTTCTTAATTGCTTTCGCTTTTTTTTTTAAAGAAAATTTCAATAAATTTTTAATGTATTGGCCTATTTAAGACCCACTTTTTCAAGACATTTTTTCCTGATTTTTTTTCAAAGGGATTTCTCCTCTTAATTTTAATATTTATACATTTGAGTTAAATATCAACACGCGCACATAATTTTGTCGCAAGCCACCAAACCGAATGAAAAGCCGATATAAACTGAAACTTTCGTGTCAAATTTTAGGCACCCATACATAGGGTCTAATATATTTATGCTTCTTATGCATTGTAAATGTTGTTCCTCTTATTGTTATAGTTTTTCCCTGCACAGCTGGCTGTGTGGCTGACTGACTCTGATTCTCTATTTTATATATATATGTACGTATTTACAAATATTGAGATGGTATTCATTCTGGTTTGTTTCTCCTCTCACCATATCCGTGTAATAACGGAGCGCATCGTAAATTTTCATTTGTCCCTGACTTAGAAGAGAACTTAAAAAAGTAGGCGAGAGAAAGAGAGAGAGCGAGAGCTGAAAATGAATAAAATTATTTGTAAAGATAGTAATGCAGAATAAGGAATGTTATGGTAATTGAAACAAGTCTTATAACTTTATGTTGAGTTTTATAAGTTGAAACTCTTCATTTGGAGACTAAGAGTAGCTCCCTTGTTCAAGTTTGTTATAATCAAAGCTTTGGTATTTAGCTCACATGTATACAAACAATTTGAAATAATATCAAATTAATTACAGTATAATTGGTATTCAATCACTGTAAACAAGAATAAAATTTTCATAGGTTTTTTTTGTGAACATTAAAAGCCGTGCATTTCTTATTACTTGACTGTAGGTATTAACTCGAAAAGTTAGTTAATGCAGTTCCGATAGCCTGTGTTGCTAGCGCTCAATGTTTTTTTTTTAGTCTAAGAATTCATTTCATTAGTCTAAAATTAAAATAATAATAATAATAATAATAGGATATGCAGCAATGGAGGAAAGTTAGCTAGTGACACACATAAATTTATTTATCGGTCGTACAACTAATCAGAACTGCCATAAATTCATTTTTGATGGATTTATTACACACTATAACTGCAACCAAAAAGTGGGTGCAATCATACCCTTCTATGATTTATATAGGAAAAACCAAATTTTTGGTATATTGAACCGATGTATATACAAAAACTTTTATCACGTATCGATTGCATATTACCAAAAAATGTGGATCGATATTTGCATTTCGCTTAAGGCACGCAGAAATACGTAACTATTGCTTTTACCTGTCATGTTTTGTTATTTAATTGTTTTAAATAAAAGACGATGAAAATAAGTTTCAATAGTCTTCAGTGTTTTATTTATATATGTGTGGTTTGAAGACGTAGTTTTTTGTACAAGTCAACCAAACAGGCAATTTGTTTTGCGAATAACATGCATAATTATAAGAAGAATTGTTTCATTTAATATTGTTTTGTACGCTTCATGCGTATTTCGTTCTAAAACCTTAGATTGCCCCAAATCAAAAGCGAACATTTCCTCAACTCCTCAATAACGACAAAGCAGTAGCTTTTACAGGCTTTCTCCTTCATGAAAAAGCGACTCAAACGTGTGTTTGTATTTATCTCTGAAGCACAATAATTCGTAGAATAAATCGTAGTGTCCGTTCTTTTCGTCAATCATGTTGTGAAACAAAGTTTTTGGATACGTTATATAAATCAGCATCTAAAAATTTTAAGACACATTATTCAACGGCGTAAACATGTTTGTTGGAAATGGTGATAAGAAGGACACATGTTGACATGTTTTGAGAGCGTTGAAAGAGCGGGAGAGTTACGTACAATAGGAGTTTATAGCAACATGTTTCTTATGTTCTATAGATTTTGGTTTTGGGAAATTAGCTATATTTTTCCTTTCAGTTTTGTTGCGAACTTCTGAATATATTGAGCGTTCGTCGCTAATATTATGCATAATAAAATTTTAATGCCCTTCGATGCCAAAAAATTACATATACATAAGCATTATACATATATACAAATAAATGTTTTCACTCATATATATATATACAGGTAGATACATGTTTTTTACAGTTATGTACGTATATATATATATATATATATATATATATATATGTATATACAAGTTTTTTATAGTTATGTATATATATATATATATATATATATATGTATGTACAATGTTTTTGTCGACGATTAAATTAATTCATTTAGTTTCATATGCTTACATTCTTCAGTTGTGCAAATTTCGTCTTTCACTTTGCAAAACTCAGAAGTAGGTTATTTATTTTAATTTGAACCAAACAATTTCATTGAAAATCCAAGTTGAATTTATTCAGTTTAGCTGCGAGAAATTAGATCGCGCAAAATATAAGCACGGGTCTTTTTAAAGACTTTTATAAATCACATATTTCGGTGACGTTTTCCAATTAAAACGAGCACGCTTCGTAAACTTTATTTTGCGTAGAGGTTTCAAGTCCTTGATTGCCAATACTTTTTCTTACACTTTTTCCTTCGAGTAATCGTAGGAAGGCATTTGCACGGTCTCAAATCAAGTGAAAATGAGGCTCATGACTGTAGATGGTTTTTCGCACCTTTGGCGCATTTACTTGATGAGTTTATATATATATTTGATCATTTGTGCGTTATACTCATCGAAGTCAAGAGCAATATATGAAACCCAGAGTGACATGATGCTTAATAGGTCTTCGTCCGCTCCAGGAACATTTCGCTCACAATGTCTACGTTGTCTTAGACATGAATGGGCCAAGCAGCGTGACACAATCTCCACGACTTGCCAGCAAGCCAATCAAGTATTCTGTTCGAAATGATGCACAATTTTTCACTTATTGGTCATCGATGACGGTAACATTGACTGGAATTTAAATTGGTTACAAAAATTGCATATAAAGTATGTAGGACGGAACTTATGACTGTATAAGATACTTAAAGACCTATAATAAATATTTTATAATTGCAATATAAAAATATATATAAAGCAAAACATAAACAAAAAGAGTAAAACCCATCTGAACATTCAAAATTAAACAATCTGGGATTATCTTTAGGCAACCGCATGGCAACCAATGGTACTGAATGCATATGGATCTTGCTTGCAAAAGTACCGATATGTTCAATTTGAAAATTAATTTAGATATGGCATCCACAGATCGCAGATATTGAGGACCACTAATCTAATACTGTTTGACCAGTCCGACATTGGGAGCCATTTAGGCTTTTACAAAGGACTTTGAACGGATCAAGCTTTATGAATGTAAAAATTCTCGAGACATTAAAGTTCCTTCGTAATAGGGCCTACGAGTTAATGCGGCCGTCAATTAACTTAAGCAAGAAGGAGACAGCTAAGGTAGATTTTCGCTTCTCTAGTAAAGGAATGTGTAATAGTATAAAAGAATTTATTCTTAAAGGAGACGAACGTTCTTAATACAAAGAATAGAAATTGCTTCTGAACTGATTCTATTGAATCGACGCAAAAACTAATCGTTCAGTAACAGTCCGTTCAAAAAGTTTAGGCAGAACACTCAACCGGGCAATGACTCTATAGTTTCTAACTACATGTCGATTCTCATGTTTGTGTAGTGAATTAAGAAAGCTACTTTTCCAGCATACTATAATTCCTCCGATCCCAGGCCACAACTATGGTTCAATGACATCAACCCTTGAAATACATTCAACTCCGAAATAGTAACTTTTGGAACAGCAAGAGAATCACTTGTTCGATACGAATAATTGCTCGTAGATTCCAAACTGTTAGTAAAAAAGTTACAAAAAAAGTAACCACCAAAAATATATGCAATTTCAAGATCGTCAGAGGAACCAGGAATTTATATATAATATTTATATTTATAATTTATATATATAATTTATATATATAATTTAGAACTTCATTACAGTGGAGGAGATTTAAGTCCAATATTTCATAGGAAAACAAATTGGCACCATCAAATGCCTTGATAGAGAGCATATAACCATAATTGCAACTGGGAAACTATTGACATGGGGAAAGTTGAAACCTTCCAGCAGATTGCCAACTCCGAAGATTTTGACCCATGAGCGAAATTTGGGAAAACCTGATGCGGCTGAAAATTCAGTCTACGTTGAGGTTAGGCTAGTAGAAAGAATTTTAGAATTTAGGCCCATTATGGTTGTACTCACTTTTTGAAGCTGACTAGGTTATAGGGATTTCGCTTTGAAGTTTGTCCCTCTGAAAGAATTCTTCTATTCAAAGCCTTGTGGGTGCACTGATTTAATCAACATGGATTAAACGTTAGTAGTTGAAAGCAGAACTTCGACCGATTGTACAGTTCTAGGTTGGGAGAAAGATATTTTAAAGATGTTGGCCAGATTTCGTTTAGTCGACGAAGCTTTTCCGTAAGATAACTTTTCATGTGTTCACACAACGCATCCGATGCCAGTCTAGACGCAGGTGGCCAAAAACTCTATTTGCATGTGCATTCTGATGCACCGACGATTTATGGGAAGTGGGAGGGAGGGGAAATTTTTTACCTGTCTTCGTAGGAGACTTCGATGGGTCAAGACAATCGCACATTGCATCCACATAACTAAGACACAATAGTCTGCAACTCCCATTTATGTTAGCGTTTAGAAAATTTTGATTCTTAGCCAACTATCTAAAGCATTATTAACACACAATAAGGGGGAAGCATACAATGGCAGCATGGGATACGGCAATGTAAGGTCAACAAGCTCCTCTGAAGTAGAAATTTCAAGATGAAGAGGAGCAAGAGCAGAGACATGAGTTTTAAGGGCGGCTCGACTGAAAGGCCTACAAGCCTCACTACGTGTGGATCCTATTCTAAAACGTCACCAAGCTGTCCAAGCAGCTACATTGATGGAGCACAGTCTTATATTCCTCCAGCTTTAAAGACAGTGACTTAAGCTCCTTACCAATCTCCGCCAAAGCTCTTTTTGTTGGACAAAGAGGCGATAAGTCAATATCCTTTGAGGTGGACAGATAGAATATGATCGGGAGATTGTAGGATCCCACATGTACATAAAGGGCTATTCATTATGTTAATCTTGAATAGCTCATCATTACATTTAATGTGATGTTCTCAGAAAAAGAAATCCATTATTTTTTCGGTAGATGGCTGCACTGATAGATTTCTCGTAAAGTATCGATCAAACAATTTCATATTTATGCTCGTTGGAAAGGTGACATTTCGCAGTAA